TACAAAATATGGGAATTTGAATAGATCCTATGGCTACTTTAGCTGAGATGTACGTTTCTCTTTTGTAGCTTGAAGGATCCACAGAAAGCCTCCTTGAGATCCCAGAATACTTGACAGATGAATACAAAGCCAAAGCAAGCTAGTGAAGTTAGGTTGTCTTATTCTAAAGCTGTTTTTTATCTTGCCTGTTCATCCCACCATCACCCATGGATCCCTGCTTGGTGGGCATCCATCAGGATGGCAAGAGATGGCAAAGATTAATTTAACTTTCAAGTTTCTTTTGAAATGCTCCTTTATCTAGGTTCCTGATCAGTAAAAAACACATATATACGTACATATATATTTTAAAGTCTGGGTCAGCAAGAATCCAAAGTCTGTAGTGTTTATAAAATGGAAATGGACATGTTTTTAATTGCATAATTTTTGTCCTCAGCATGCTCTCTATAAGGCCTTGCTATTGAGTGTATAATCTGAGTATTTGTTTTAAATAAACAGAGGGTTAACTTCTTTAGTTTCCTAAGAGGTTAAATAAATGGGTTGGCAGATGGTCATTTGGGAGGTTACCTGCTGCTGGTTGGGGGAAGGGGCCCAAAACATTCTAAAAGTCAACCAGATGGCAAAAAATAGTCTTGGCCAAACTGGTCAACAGTGTATGAGCTCTGGTCCTCTGCTGGAACTACTTACTTGAAGCAGTAACTTACACCTGTTAACATCTGGAATGATTTATCTTTGTGTCATTAAGAAACACAGGCTAGTTTAATTGAATAAAGTGCAGTTACAACAACCCGTAAGTACAGAGAGACTGAGAAGTTCAACATTATGCAGCATAGCCTAGAATAGCATACAGTTAATAGTGTTTACCATTTGCCAAGATTTATTTTAAATACATATATTACTTTATTTAATCCTCACAACAGCCCTGTAAAGTAGGGATAGCTTTTTATTGTCACCATTTTACAGATGGAAACACGGAGGCACAGAGAGGTTAAATAACTTAGCCAATCTAACCACTATGCTGTACACCTGAAACTAATAAAAAATAATATTGAATGTCAACTATAATTTTTAAAAAATAGTCACATATAGTACAGCATAGGGAATATAGTCAATACTGTAATAACTATGTAGAGTATCAGATGGGTGATAGACTTATGGGGGTTATCATTTTGTGTGGTATATAAATGTCTAATAATGAAACTAAATAAGTAACTTGGCCAAGATTACAGCACTACTAAATACTGAAGCCAAGTTGAAACCAAGCAACCTTGAGCCAGAGTCTATGCTCTTAATTCTGAAGAGTTTTGGCTTATATAAAAAGCTAAAGGGCTCAAGTGAAAGGCAGACAAGAAAACTATATAAAAAACATGTTCATTGTGGCATTATTTATAATGTAAAATAAACTGGAAACAATCTAACTGCCTAATAATAGAAAAATGGTTGAATAAATCATGGTAAACTTATTACAATGAAACGTTATCCTACTATTAAAAATATTTATGAAAAATGTTTCATGACTTGAGACAATGCTCCCAATGTAATGCTGGGGGGTGGGGGGGAGGTAGAGAATAGGATACAAAATTGTGTATATTGTATATATTATGATTCCTATTTATTTACGTAAAAAAATAAGCTCAGACGCAAATGAAGGATATATTCTCAAATAAGAAACAATGGTTATTTCCAGGTGGTGGGATTAGGGGTGTTTGTATTTTTCTTCCAGTGTTTTCCACAATGAACCTGCATTGTCCTACTACCAGCTTAAACAAAGGCATGTTTTTTTCTTTTAATCAAGCTATACCAAGATCCTTAAGCAGATGATGAATAAAAACAGCTAAAAAGCTCTTACTATTTGATTTCAAGTAGTTACTTTCCTTGAGATAATACCCTTTGAACATTAAACAACATAGTCAGCATATACCAAAAAGAATGCTCACCTTCAACTTAGGAAACTGCATTAAAATGAGTATTTTCAATTTTGGTCAATGTTTATTCTCTAATTATTTATAGGATTATTTTACAAGAAGAAAAAATGGAATTAACTATTTACAGGCCAAAAACTCAGGAATGGCTTTGCTGAAATAGATAAGGGACAGAAGTTTGACTGCAGAAGAACAGCTGTTGCTAATCCTACTATTTACCCTTTGACCTTCTATCTGGCCAATGACTGAACAGTATCAATTGTTTTCCTGTATTATGTGCTGTTTACAATCCCTGAGAGGCATGAAAGGAATTAATAGTTTAGCCTAGAAAGCTGACAGCCTTTATTGGGGAGCCCCTTGTCTGTGGGACAGTAATCAGGGCAAGTAGCTCTCCTGAAGTCACAGGTCCCTTTACTGTTCCTGTTTTATAGCTTAATTGGCCCCCACACATAAATCAATTATTTCTCCTGTTTTAAGCAACAATGCCTTCTAATTCTCTTAACTTTCCTTGTATCAAGTCAGTCCTTGTTCTCTTGAGTTTTACAACTACACGGTAAACACGATGGCTGAGGAAAAAACTCGAGGAGCAGGGTTGACTAGGGTTATTTGGAAACAGAAGCACAGAAAGGTTATGCTGTTTTGAACTTCTCTTGACCTTTGACTGCCCTTGTCCCTAGCTTATGCTAATGGGCAGCGTACAGAGATGCTTCTTGTAGAAATGAACTTAGCCTGAACCTGTGCCGTAACATTGGACTCTAGGAAGCCCAGGAATCATAGGAAGGCAGTTAAGAGTGTGAACAGCTGCCCATATTCTAAACATGGCTATCCATCTGCTCTATCACAGAAAAGGCTTAAAAAAAAAGGGGGGGGGGTATTTGAACTGGACAAGGTCATTCCTTCCTCATCTAGTTCCAACATATCCCACCTGTAGTCCTAAACTTGCTGTCTACAATCACTGTGGGGCACAATGGGAAATCAGCAACAATGGTACTTCCTGTTCCAAATTAAGCCAATATGAGCAGGCTTTCCCTATCAGGAATTCAGAGATTAGGGGAGACACTGGGATCTCTGAATTCCAAAGATGCATCACAGAGAAATCCCTATTATTCTCAATCTTACGTGCAAAAGTCATGAAGTATCAACTAGGAGATGTCAATCCTTCCCAGTCAGAAGCCAGGAAACCTGCAGTCTCAACAATAATCAATTTAACACAACACATACAGCCCATCTTAGATTTAAGGATTCCTATCACTCAGTAGGGCTGAGCATGCTCATTTGAACCCGAAGACTGGTTCAGATTAAGATGATAAAATCTTTACTTCAGCTCATTATTATAATATCAGATCTTTATGTATTTCTTCAAAGAGAAAGAATAAAAACACTACTAACTTCACGAAGATAATATAGGGATTAAGAACATTAGCCACATAAGCTAAGTACAATTTTTAAAAGAAAGGCGATTTTTTTTTTTCCTGGATGGCTCCCATTCTGTACTGATACATAAAATTATGATTCAGTCTTCGTTCATCCTCATGGAATGGAGAGGTCTGTAAATCATATCCAGCTAGAGATTCTATGTAGAAATGTTAAATGGGTTAGGATCAGATGGCCCAGAAAGAAGAATCATTCAGTAATAATCATTATGAGAATATCAGGGGCCTTTCTTAGAAGATGAGCATGAACTATTTTGAATTGCTACTAAGTACAGAAAAGGAGAATAAGTTTGGTTACTATGTGCTAAACTAGAGGTTTAAAAAGTTTTTTTTCAAATATTTCCAGACAAGGAAATATTTTCTAATAGACAGTTACTACATGGGGGCAGGACCCAGACTTATCTGTGTATCCCTGGAGGGTAAAAATGGGCCTGGAGCAGAGAGAACACTCAATATTTAACTGAGTTCTCAATTATCTGGTGTGTTTTATGTGTAATTCTGTCTGAAACATTACAGAGCATCTCAATGTCCTTCCTAGTATCCAAAAATGTTTCATGTCTCGGGAATGTACCTTTTCCTCCTTCGAAGTGAAGGCTATTCACAGAGAAGGACAAAGAGAAAACTGTGTTCACTCATAGGTACTGGGATTTCGGGTGGTAGGGTGGGGTAAACTGAGCCTATACTACCTACAAAACTGATTCTGAACTTTCCAACTTCTAGAAAGACAAATCTATTTCCCTGGTGTTTGGTGAGCATTTTGCCTCACAATTAGTAAGTATTAGGTAAACAAACATATACGTTTATACTATTAAGGTGTGTAGGGAAAATACGTGAGAAGGTCTATAACGTCAGAGAGCTGATTATGTGCAGGATGGTGACAAAAAGCCAGCCCTATGACCCTAAAAAGTACCAGAACTAGAAAAATAACTCTGAATCATCTCATGAATTCTCAATCCAAACTATTAATCGACCTTTTGGCATTACAGCAAAATAAACTCTGTATACACTAGATATTCCAGTGTCCTATTTCTAATAGTTATAACCATATCTGAGGATGACGTATGCCACATTTTGAGAACACTGGAAACACAGACGATTATCTCTGATCAAGAATTATATAGTCCTGAGAAGCATAATTTAATTAGACCTTGAAATGGTCACTCTAGTACCTTACCCTTAAGAATGCAGGTGAAGGTGCTTCAGAAATTAAACTGTGGTGCAAATGTTATTGATTTTAAATATCTAAACCAAACATAATTCTTCTTTGAAAAAAGTTATGTCAAAACTAGTCAATACTTTAGAAAAGTAGTTGTGGGTATATGGTTGTATGTGTGCATACATAAGAGCACAATTTTTGTTGTTACTGGCTTCATGGGAGGATGGAGAATGGGAAAAGGAAATAAATATCAAATAGAAATTTTTAGCAAACCAATTTTCTATTAAATGGCTAGATTCTAGCCACTGAGTATTAGGAGAAGAAAAAAAACATAACTAGAAAAGATACAATGCCCTCCCCATAATTATAAATTAAAGTGAAATAAAATCTGAGTCCATAAGGCCTATCAGTGACATCTTCAGTTATACTTTTAAAAGTACACACACACATCCTTTTTTTAGTCATGAACACTGGGGAACATTCAGAACTTACTAGTGCCTGGGTCGAGTTCTGCCAATTCATCCTGACAAAAACCTAAAGAGAAAAACAGTAAGAAAAAGAGATTATGATTCTTAAATTACTCCAAGGGACTCCAGATGAAAATGCAAATATGAAAGTAAAAAAAAAAAAAAATCCAGACTCAAAAGTCAAATTTGGATTTAAATCCTAGCTCTATAACAATTTAGCTCTCTAAGCCTTCATTTCATCATCTTTAAATTAAAAAAAGATAGTAACTGCACTTACCACAGGGTACTAATGAGATTTTTTTAAGTGAGATACTAATATAAAGTGCTTATTTAGCCCGGTCCTTGGCACACAGTAGGGGCTCAGTAAACAACAGCACTAATAATTATGAATTAGCAATGTTAGCGGGGAAAAAAATTCATAGGAAAACTGGAATTCATTTAATATCTGTCATGTTCTACTTAACATTATCAATTATTTTCCAAAAGAAAGCAAAATACACAAAATATGAACTTACGACAAATATCAAACAGGGTAATTTTACTTAAAATTTTCACAGATGCTGAAAAATTTTACCTATACACACAAATGGAAGCAATTCTTCCATTAATAAGTATGGCATCCAGGTTGGAATAAATACCTCTTCAAAGCATATTTCAGGCCCCAAAAGTCTGATCTACATCTGTCTGCTTGGTGTGTAACTATTATACTGAAGAGAAAAATCAAGCACAGCAAAAGGCAAGCACATAGTTGATGTTCTATATATAGTTGATGAAAAGTTGTTTTTTCCTGGAATGACTGCCAACTTTCTCAGGTTTGCTTTCTACTCATTATCAGTTTAAATATTTCCTCAGAAATGCTTTTTCTTGCCTCCCTTACCCTTGTCTCATACACAAGGTCAAAGTTCCATTATAATTTTCTATAATACTTTGTGTATTCATCAACAAGAAAGTACTTGTTCAAATGTCTGATTCCACTATTAAAATGTTCATTCCACAGGGCAAGGGACCTGGCTGTCTTGTTTTTTTTGTTTTGTTTTTTTTGTTTGTTTGTTTTGTTTTGTTTTTTAGCTGAGCCATCCTGCTACCTGTTGGCAGCTCAGCGGTTGCTCAGCTCGGGCTGGACTTGAACCACTGTTGCTCAGAGCTCAAACTCTTGAGCGAGCTCTTAACCAACTGAGCTACTCGGCCGGCCCCTGGCTGTCTTGTTCATAGGTATATCCCTATTACCTCTCACAAGAACAAAGTAGCTGTTCAATAAACATCAACGTAGTATCACAACAGTAAATTCAAAAATTATGGAGCAAAACTAGGACTACAGGTATAAGAGCACATTTCCTATCAGAGCTAGGGAACCAAAGGCCAGACCAGCACCTGGGAGTCACATGGAGACGAGGGCTTCAAGTAGCAGGTCAACTGTTTAAACACAACTTTGAAAAGCCCTTTGCAATCCTGACTGTTCTGGCCACACCATGCACCAAACATGCCACACACATCCCTTCTTGCCTTCCTGTGTTTCCTCCTCCTTCTCCACTTGGTGAAGAACTAGTCATCCTTCAAGATCCAGCTCAAATATCACCACCACTGGAAAATATGGAAAAAAGGAGCAGCCCCTCCTGCATTCACCAAAAGATAAAGGAACAATTTAAATATCTGCCTCCTCTAGAAAGTGAGCTCTTCGAGGGTGGGAACCAGGTCATACCCACCTGTGGAACTGCTTCTAGGCCCAGAACAGTCACCGATACATTATGGGAGGTGCTCAAATGCAGGATAAACTGAACAGAAAACACAGACCTGCCTCTAGGTCACAGTCTGGGGCAAGAAAGTCACAAAATCTGAAAATCTAAGTGTAGCCTGAAAGGTGTGTGGATGGTCTGAATGAGAAAATTGGATCTGGAACACCAGAGTTTGGAAGCTGCTAAAAGTGCCTGAGGTGCCTGAGAAGGCTCCCCTCAGAGCAACTTTAAAGCCTTTCTACATAAAGGAAATGGGAATCAGAGAAGCTGTGGACAGATGCCAGACAATGGGTTCAATACTGAACATCCTTCCAGAAGTGAAACTGGGAATAAACGTTCACTTAATATAAACTGACTTAAAACTAGGACAAAAGCATGGGAAGGCAGGGTAGTGTAATCAGTAAGTTAGATCTTGCCCAAGTTCTAGTCCAAGCCATTTTTAGTTTAGTTATATGACTTTAGGCAAGTTGCTCCCTATTCTGGACATTAAATGAAAAGACTGTACTAGAAGTCTTAAGGAAGGACAAACCTTAATGCCTTTTCTGAAAACAAACAACATTCTGAACTCAGAGTAACTAAATAAAATATAGAGAGGGTGACTAAAAAACAAAGAAAATACTAAGACAAATAGTTAAAGTGGCCATCTCTTGCTTTTATCTGCCTAGTAACCACTGCCCCCTTCTGTTAATGGCATCCTGCTTTTTCTTGGGAGATTTCTCCCTTTTACACTTTCAGTGCATATGACCCAAATAATATGGACCCTAACCTTGCTATAAACTGGGGTTAACAATAGCCCTTTTTTTGGCCGGAATCATGGAGGGTGCAGAAGAGAAGAAGGTTCCTACTGTACCAGAAACCCTTAACAAAAAGCGAGAGACTATCAGAGAGCTGAAGATCAAGCACCTAAGAAAGAAGTTTGCCCAAAAGATGCTTCGAAAGGCAAGAAGGAAGCTTATCTATTAAAAAGCTAAGCACTACCACCAAGAACACAGGCAGATGTACAGACCTGAGATTTGAATGCCTACGATGGAAGACAAGCTGGCAACTTCTATGTACCTGCGGAACCCAGATTGGCATTTGTCATGAGGATCAGAGGCACCAACGGTGTGAGGCCAAAGGTCCGAAAGGTACTGCAGCTTCTTCACCTTCACCAGATCGTCAATGGCGTCAATTAGCATGCGGAGGGTTGTTAAACTCAACAGGCCTCAATGAGCACGCTGAGGATTGTGGAACCATACATTGCATGGGGGTACGAAACCTGAAGTCAGTAAATGAAATGACCTACAAGCATGGTTATGGCAAAAGCAACAAAAAGCCAACTGCCCAGACAGATGACTCATTGATTGTTCAATCTCTTGGTAAATATGGCATCATCTCATGGAGGATCTGATTCAGGAGATCTATACTTTTGGAAAATGCTTCAAAGAAGCAAACAACTTCCTGTGGCCCTTCAAATTATCTTCTCCACTAGGTAGAATGAAGAAAAAGACAACTCATTTTGTGGAAGGTGGAGATGCTGGCAATGGAAAACCAGGTCAACAGGCTTATTAGAAGGATGGACTAAGGAATCTACCATGGTTATTTTTGTAATCTGATCAGTTAATAAACAGTGACTGCTTTCAAATTGAAAATAAACAAACAAACAAACAAACAAATAAATAAATTGGGGTTAACAACAGTATCTACCTTATCGGTCTGTCGAATGAGATGGTGTATGTAAAGGCTCTGCCCAGTACTTGACGAAGTCAGAGCTCAACATACTCGTATGTGAACTACTCCTAACTAATTTCTAGGTCCATCCAATCCAGTGCTGTGTCTATGGTAGCAAAGAACGCATTATAGGAAGGTAACTGCTGACCCATTCATGACCGTTCTCAAAGACCTGGGATGGAACCCTAACATCACTAATATCACTTTAGTCGTATATACTATGATTTTTGAACCTTTGTTTATATTTTGAGCCTGTAAATTGCTTGATGCAGTGATTCCAGATGTTTGCTACCCCTTGAGAAAGAAGGACTCTATATTTGCCTTAAAACAAATTCCTTTCACGGTCACAAGAGCCCTGATTATGGAATTCAGTAACTATATCTACATTTCCTCCACCCAGCCCTGAGACCACTGGCTAATAATGTTGTCTCTGGTTTTACAGATCACCATTAGTGCAGGAGGCCTGAGGAGATACGGAGAACAATGCTAATCCTACCTCCAGATGACAAGTGAATGGAATGGCTAGATCTGGCTACCATTCCCAGGGTCTCAGCAAACAGATCTATTATAGCTAGCAAAATGATTCCTGGCTTGAAGAATCCAAATCACTGCTAGAAGTAACCCCAACGTTTGTTCAGTTCAATCCAACACCAAGGCAAAGGATATCAGAGTTGTTCAGCAAAAACCAGACTCCTAAGCCACACAAATACATAAACATACCCCCAAAACCATCCGCCTCACAGACTACAACATGTTAAACAGATAAGGTAAGATATGTTCTGAGAAATCTTTGGCTGGTGACATAAATTGCTTTAAAAAGGGACAGACAAGAAACACAGATTGTTTCCTAAGATGATATATCACCAAGTCAGTGTGCTCATAAGCAATCTGAAATCCAGTGCAAACCTTATATTCACTTACCATATTTTAACTCAGAAGAGAAATGCATAGTGAAAAGGGCATCTGTCTGAGTTAGAGTTGAATTCAAATTCTCCAAAAAGCAATAGTACTAAACCACAATGCCATCACAATGAATTCCAGTTCAAGCTCCTCTGCCTTTAAAGTCTAAAACAGTGATGTCCAATAAAAATTCCTACAATGGAAATGTTCTTTGTCTACACTGTCCAATACGGTAGCCACTAACTATATGTGGCTACTGAGCACTTAGAATGTGACTATTGTAACTGAGGAACTGAATCTTTGATTTTATTTAATTTTAATTAATTAAGGTAGCCACATAAGGCCACTGGCTATTATGATGGACAAGATAAGACTAGAAAGAGGCTTTCTATTTTGCTAAATTTATTATACTACCTTTTGGATTCTGTTACAGCTTTAAAGAAAATGAACTTCGGAAATGCTTATGCTAGTGTTATTTACTATCCAATTTATAAGTATGTCAGTTGTTATCAGAAAAATATTTCCATCAGCCTGCAAATACAGTCACTTATTCCTTGAAATGTTATTAAGTACCTCCCCATGTTGTAGCAGGTCCTGGCTTGGAAGATATACATATGAACAAGACTGTCCCTACTGGCAGAGAATAAATAGTCTAAAGGGGTACAGAATGGACAAAAATTAGCTGTAAAGCACAACAGTGTGAGTGTACTTAATGCAGCTGAAA